AGATACATTAATGATTAATATAAAAAATTATGTAAATAATTAAAGTATTTTAAAAATAATTTCACAAAATTACTATCATTTTAAAACTTAATGCTCAAGACGTTTATATGCCCGAATAGCGGGGCAAGGTCCTCACTTGTTAAGAGATATACTTTCTCCCTTGTGTAGGCTGGGAATTTGCAAATAGGCCCACTCCAGATCAACACCAAGGCTTGCTGACATGGCACGCTTCAAACCAATAGCTTGGCCCAGTTGGACATGTGACAACCCCTAATTGGAATTTTTAATTTAAGTGTAAGCAGTATCAATTATAGAAAAGTTGTTCAAAGCCATTGATATTTTTGTCACTTTGAGTGGTCATCATATATTATTTGATAGCATTTTTATTTTGTAAAACAAACTCATTGCTATTTTGATAAAAACTTGAAAAGGTCACATATTTTATACGCTTTGTGGAATTCAAATTTTTATAAATCTAAGTTTATGAAAAAAATGAATTTATGTAAAAATAATATTTTTAAAAAATAATTAATTAAATTTTGGAATTAATTCAATCATAAGGAAAGTGTATTGATCATACCTAGTCATTTAACCAGCATCTATAATCTCAAAGAATGCATGCCAAGTGGAGTGCTACTATAAATAGATTCCATATATATATAGATATATTTATTTATTTGGATAAAAAAGACACAATATTATAACATTGCAATTACTGTTTAGGGTAGCAAACCGCTACATGATCAACGCAACGCAAAAGGTCCACAACAGATGGACAATCATTCAAAATATAAAAACCACATGAGGCCTTGGTGCCTATCTTTGCCAAAGCATCAACCATGTTACTCTCCCTCAACACATGCTTCAATTGGCTTTGGGGGATAGTGCGCAAAAGGTCCCTGCAATCCATGATCAAGGTACCATGAGGATGAAAAGGATTAACCGTACCCGAAAAGAGCAAGAAAGCAACCTGGCAATCAATTTCAATAACAATATTTTGTAACTGGAGGTCCTTAAAATTATTAAGTCCATCTCTGATTGCCCTTAACTCCGCAGCAAGAGCTGTGGTTTGGCAAATGTGTCTCATGAATCCAACAATCCACCTACCTTGAGAGTCTTTAAGAAGCCCAACACAACTAGCAATACCAGGGTTCCCAATGGTAGAACCATCAGTATTCAACTTGAACCAATTAATTAGGAGAAGGTGGTTCGCAAGAGATAAGCCTATGACGAGGTGTTTGACGAGGAGTAGGTAGGGAGTTAGAAACTTCCAGAAAACTTTGAGAAACTTCCAAAAAGAATCATATGTATCAAATAGAAAAATCATGCATGAAGGGGTACATATTATAACTTTTAAAACAAATGCAAGAATCAATAGGTTCAACTGAAGTGTATAACAAGATAGATATAGAAATGAGACAGAATATAAAGATTATAGGAGTAAGCTCAAAGATGAAGGCTATTACATAGGACCATACATATCTTGCAAATCTCACAAATTAGGATGTATTATAATCATAAAAATTGAATTTTATCAAGATCAAATATGCACTTTGAAAATATAAATTTCACAACAAAGAAGTCATAAGAATCAAATTAAGAAAGATAAGTATGATGCCAATTGTTGCACTAATAAGATTAAAACCATGAGCATGAATAGTCCAAAGATAATCAGGTATGAATAATTGAAATAACCTGAATGCCATTACAAGAGAACATCATACACTAGGATTTAACAAGACTCTTTATACGGCATTGAAAATAATCATAAAGCAAACTACAAGACTTATGTATCAAACTAAAAGTTACCACACAAAAGTGTGGAGAATAGATAACTCATTTGATTCAATTCCACTCCAAGTTTCTTGTTAAAGCATAAATCTTTATTAAGATTAATCCTTTTCATCTCTTGACTTAGCCATGGAACATACTTACAAAACAATTCAAGTTTGCATTTTTGGTGTTGCTTGGGTCCTTGCGTGTTAGTATATATATGTGGCTATTAGTCCTTTTGAAACCCTTATCCAACTTGGGCCATTTGATGCGCCTCTTTTGATAAAGCATCTAGACATATGGTGGCCTTTCCTACAACAATAGTGGCATTAGGGGTGTTCATATCCGATCCAATCCGATTGATCCAACCTAAACTGATCCAATCCAATTAAAAACCAATCTAAACCGATATAAAATTGGGTTGGTTTGAATTATAAAATTTTAAAACCGATAAAATTGGTTTGGTTTGTAGTTTTACTTTCAAACCGCTCGAACTGTCCGATTACAAAATAAAATCCGATTACAAGATAACTTAATTAAATAATATAATATATTTTTTGTAGTATTTTAAATTTTCTTTTTTTTTTTTTTATTTTACAAGACAATAACTCCATTAACTTAATTAAAAAATAAAAATAGAGCATCTCCATATTTCCTAAGTTATTTTTCCATTTTAATCATGTACTTTAACTCTAATTCTAAATTTTTAATTCACCTGCAACTCTATCCCCTCAAAACTGGTTTATGTCTTTACTCTTAGAACCCTAAATTTCTAATTTATTTTTAAAATAATCTTATGATTCTCCTAACTAAGTTTTAAATAAGTATCATTCTAAAAGTCTTAAAACTATATAATAAAATTAATCTTAATATTCTACTATTCTTGGATATTTAGTTTAGAAGTTTTAAATTTTGATTATGAATATTTCTAATTAATTTTAGTGATATTCATATCAAATTTTATTCACTTTTAACGTGATTTAGAAGATGAGATTAAATTATTAATGCATTAAGAAAAAAACTAATTTTAATTTTTAAGAATTATTTATGCTATACTAGAAACTTAAAGTCATCTTTTATTGTTCTTGCTGCCTCTGCCTTTAGTAATGTAACCAAAAAGAATTTTCAGATCTTTTCAATTTTTACAAATACAAAAAAGTATAAAAACTCGTTTATAATTTGTACTTTTTATTATATTTTTACTAATTTGCATGCTAATGTGTTTTATGGTTATACTTTCTATTCGATATTAAAATATTTTTACATTATCTTATATATTTAATAATGTTAAAAATCAATCAATTCGACTGAACCACATTGATCCAATTTAAGTTGAATTAGTTTGGTTATCATATAATAATGGATTGGATTAATTTAAAAATTTTATTAACTGATTAAATTAGATTTGTTTAAAAAATATTAAAATCTGAATCAAATCACATCGCAAACACCCCTAAGTGGCATGTTATAGTGGGCCTCCTTTGAGTGCTTGATTTTCCACCTTGATTTTGAGAGCTAACGGCTGGATAACTACTAGCTTTTCACAAACTTAGTGGTATATACTTTTGACCCACTTAAACCCTTATATGCAAGCCCAATTTTGTTATGAATGTTTCTTTGGACATCTAACTATAAGTGTTATCATTCCCCTCAATGAGTTTTGAAATTGTGTTATTCAAATCTTTATTTTTCTTTTCCAAGTCATTGCATTTAGATATCAAAGAACTCCTTTCCTTTTCAAAAGACTTTGTCACACCTTAGAACTCAAATCCGAGGATGTGGTAGACGCCGTGCACTCATGAGAGGGTCCCACAAATGCACAAGGCTCGGAACTTATCATACCACAATCTGATACCATCAAAATCTGAAGATCAAATTTTAAAATTTGCTCTAATATCATAAATCTCCAAATAAAGTCTAGCTTACAAGATCATGATTTATATCTAAAATCTATATCAAATTTACAAAATGGCTAGCCTTCTAACTCATCACTCCCTTCGTTTTTCCCCGTCCTTGACTTCGCGTCCTAAAATGGTTGATAAGGAAAAACTATGAGATAACTCAGTAAGTAGATATGGAGTACCCCTTATTAAACTTATAGCATGCCAACAATTATAATCACGAAAAACAGATACAGGTACGAAAATGAAATAGACGTCTCCTCTATAGGTCATGGCCAGTGTTATAAACCTTCCACTGGTGGGCACACTATTTGTTGGTGTATAACCCCCACTTGCAGGGTCACTCAAACGAACCGGTTCTATCAATAACATGTTGACATGTGCTAGTGTTTATAAACCTCCCACTAGTGGGCACACTAATAACATGACCACATCGGAGACAAAACAGGCAGAAGTTAACAGAAAAACCATAATTCACCTATCACTTTTAGATCATCAGGACAATCAATTAAATTTCAAGTAGGCATGCTCAATTTAATGAAAAGCATAAAAATTTCACTTCAAATCAGTCATATTGTTTCCTCAAAAATCCTCTAGTGGCCTTACACGTGTGAAATCTGGTTGCGGGCGTGCCACTTACTTTGCTGAAAGTAAGAAATGAGGACTTTCCCCACGACCCTCTCCTTCCTCATGGTCAACCTCTTCGCAGATAGCGGGAAGAACGTTGGATTAAAATTGAAATTGCGCCTTTAGACGATTTGCAAGAGGGAGGGATACCTTCCTGCAGATTGGGTTACGAAATTTGCCTTGGACAACTCCAAGGACTTAAACACTACTGTGACTTAAAATTATCAAATCCTAATTATTTTAAATTACTTGCAATTTAAAATAAACTTGCGAGAAAGAAATGTACTTAAACTAAATTAAACATGCTTATGATAAAATTAAAATGCAATCTATTGACAGATTCGGAAATTAAATTGCTGCAGAACTGGAAATTTACTCCTAAATTAGCACTAAAATTAAACGTGAACAGTAAAGAAATTGAAGAACTTGAAA